GTATTTTTTGGGGCCGGAGCTGGTTGTATCTTGAAAAATTCGTAAGGAGGGGCGTTCGTAACTAGAGGTACCACTGTATTTTTTGGGGCCGGAGCTGGTTGTATCTTGAAAAATTCGTAAGGAGGGGCGTTCGTAACTAGAGGTACCACTGTATTTTTAATATGAGTCTTTTAGACACAAAAATGTATAAGAACAGACAACTCCTCTAATTGTCTGAGAGGTCCACAATGCAAATTAATTCAAAACACATATCAGCAAAACAATAACCCTAAAGCAAAATTAAGGTGCACACAAATCTCAGGTTTAAAAATCGCAGAAGGTGTGCAGCTTCACATCATTTGTACCACTTACCCCCTCGACATATCTAATAGTAAATGTTGTTAAGCCATCTTTCATTTGGTTAGCTGTGAAGTTGTAGAGTTTAATAAGGTTGAGAAAATTTAAATAAAACCCATGGCATAGTATCATGTCAAATTACACTGAAACCTTATCAACATGTGGAAATATAGTTCTAGAGACAGCTCTGCAATGCATGTTTACTCGGGACATCATGAGTCCAAACATATCATTGGTCATTTTGAATTAGCAACTACATACCAGTATATGTTGGATGGTCATTGCTTATTGGACAGGATCTTGTTAAAGCAACCATCTCATTATTTTGAGCTTCATCTTTATTCCTATCTGTGTTTCACAATAAAATAGAAATTATTTTTGCCAGGCGTTGCTTCAATATAAATGTTTTCATTAATGCAAAAATATAAAACAAATAACACTATATATACGAAAGATTATATAGGCATTACATAGGTCAGCATTTACAAAGTCAAAAGATATCCATAAAGATTTATACCAATATGTCTTTTTTGTCTGGAAAATTGATAGGACAGTTTTCTTCAAAGGGCATTAAAAAAAAATCTCTTAAACAATACCTTCATTTTACACTTCACTTTTTAATTTTGTTAATCAAACTGTCTGCCGAACTTTTATAACCCCCCCCTTTTTTTTGCTATATAGCTGTTCAACAATCATTGCATATAAAACTGACAATGCTTCCAATGCCTTTGACGCTATTGCATGAAACATAAGTATTTGGAATTGTACCCAATGTTGGGCTGGTATTGTTATGTTATGATTATTGCTATTTATTTTGTGCTGTATTGAAATTGAGACATCAATTTTATTTCTGTTTTAATGCCTTTTATGAATGTAAATTGCCCTGAGCTAGTAGATACATTAATTAAATAAACTGTCCCAAAATCTAAAATATACCACACAATTTTTGGAATTATTCAATGTCACATTTTGATAGATGAATAGTGTAAAGTATTACTGCCAGCTGGATCAGTCAGCTCCTTTGTTGCTGCCTTGTCAAGTCCATGCAGTTTTCTGGGCAAGATTTTCAGGAATGGTTTGCCATTGCCTTCTTCCTAGGATGAGAGTGACTGGCCCAAAGGCTTATGGTCTCTTGGTGTCTAGCCTGGTGCCTTTAACCACTACACCAAACTGGCTTTTAGTATCTATCTAACTTTTGTTAAATGGAAGTAGGTAACTTATAGTCCTTGGCAATATTCAGCTCTGAAGCCCTTAGCTACAGACATCAGGGATGCCAAAGGCTCCCATTGACCCTTCCCCAATTGTATATCCTCTCCTGATTTATTGATATTGCAGCTGCTGCTGTAACTGCTTATTTGTCGAAAGGCCCCATTTCCAAAAGTGACCATGAAATCTGCTCAGTAACAAGTTAAAGCATTTAACAGTTTGACTTCTGCTCCAAGAGGACTTGGAGAGAGACAACTCATCTTGCAAAATAACTACAATATTGATGAATTAGAAGAAGACTCTTCTAGCCCATCCCTACCCTACAACATTAAGCAAAATAAATATATTTTCCAGCTTTATGTAATATGATCAAAGAGTTTTGGGGAGATAATTCAAAATGAACCAGTTATTCTAACCAGATAATTTTTAAAAGTACTAAATCAAAACATATTTATACTATTATATTTCTTTAGTATTATGTTTATTTAGTACTATATATATGTCATCAGTACAATGTCCCACAATTTGTAAGGTAAAATGTTTGGTTTGACTATAATAGATTGTACTCTTAGTATAATAAAACTTTGATAGAGACTTTAGAAATAACCAATTTTGGGGTATCACACGCCTTTAGACGTCTTCATCTACTATCTCTATGCACTACACACCATTTCTATCACAGCTAGCCATTACAGGAATAAAACTTTAAGAATTGGTGCCTACTGGCTTCATTTTCTCTTCCCACCATCTTCCCTTCTCTGTGTTGTCTTTTTAAATAGTAAACATTAGGGCTATGCAACAATCTAGGTCCAAAGGGGAAAAGGTGATTTGGAGTGTGCATGAGCACACATATTGCACCTGTCTGCAACCCCCTAAAAAGCTTACACGTGATCCCAGGAAAAATGTGTTTAAGGAGGTGCTGATAGCAGTGATGTGTCCACCAATGCATGCTGCAAATCACCTTTTTCCCTCTGAATACAGATGACAGCAAAGCCATAGCCATAAAAATAGGGACCTTCCATTATTCTGTAAGCTACTTTAATAGTCTTTCTGGCTGAAAAACGGGGCACAGACGTTAAATAAATGAGGCCACAAAAACAATTTGCAGTTCTCTATCTGATCACTCACAAAGTGAATAGAAGCCACACTGCCCAAATCTATGACTAACGCTTCTTCTAAACTATGCATTTTCCATTCATCTCACTAGCAAGTTTCCTACTATAAAGATGGGAGGCAGAAAGCAGTCCTGCTGTCCCACACTCATTGTATAGCTATTGGATCCTCAGTGGCCCTGGGCTCCGGCTGCTGCTTTTGTGTGTAATAAAGCTGCCCTTATTCATGATCTCATTATGGATGAGAGTGCTAACCTGGCATTGCCCTGGCGGGGGTGTGTGTGTCCCCTCTTGGAAATGTGCCCAACTGGGTTTTGCATTTTGCACCAGCCAAGAGCCGAGGGGAGGGGAGGAAGGGTGGCTGTTGTCCTTTATTTGCTTACACTTTATAGACAGAATCTTGCCAACTAAATCTATGCTATAGCAACTAGTGGATATACCCTGGGAGAATCTAGGGAGTGGCTCTCCTGAACCTCTTTCGCTTCCCACGTTCCCCCTGCAAACTATGCTGCCTCTTGCCTCCTCCTCCCTCCTGGAATGCACCCCCTCCTTCCTGATAGCCTTGATCTCCCACATCACTCTCCTCCTTGTAGATACATTCCATCACAGACTACTTGCTTCCAACTACTACCCAGAAGCTTCAACTGGTCCAGAATGCAGAGGCACAGGCAGTGATGGGCAAGCCTCTGTACACCCATATAACATTTCTGCATCACAAGCTGCATGTTGCCAGTTCACTACTGGATGTGATTCAAGGTGCTGGTTGTTACCTAAAGAGACCTGCATGGCATAGGGTAGGGCCTGGTTATTTGAGGGACCACCCATTTTCCATAGCATCTGCCCAGCTGATTTGATCCAGCAGGATTGGTGTACTCTGGGTTCCTTCAATTAAATAATACCATCTATGAAGACCCCAGAAGTGCACCTTCTCTGCTGTAGCGCCTGCCCTCTGGAATGAAATTCCCCCAAGATAGGGATGGCCCCTATCCTGCTGGCATTTGAGAGAGCCTTGAAGACCTGGCTCTTCAGCCAGGCCCAGGCTCCTTTTGGATAATGTGGGTTTGCCTTGTTGTCCAGTTTGTGCCATCTTTTGCTCTTTGTTTTTTATCATTGTATTGTTTTATTGTTCTGTGTGTTTTTATCTGTGCACCACCCAGTCGCTGGGGATCAGGCAGTGTAAAAATTCAGTAAATAAATAAATTACTGTGGGCTACTCTCATTTGGAAATACTCAAAGGCCACTCAACTTACCAGGTTTAATTTTATCATGGATCTTTTCAGAAAGATCTTTCCTGGGAATGTCATCCAGGGCACTCTCAAGTGCCTTTAGAGGATCCAGATAATAGGAATAAAGTAATTCTGTTGCCTTCACTGCATCAAACTTCTCTAGTTTACTTGAGGGGATATTTTGGCCTTGTAGGGTTGTTTTATTTAGTATGAGTTTGAGTTTGGTCATTTCTTCCTCCTTCAGATCTTCAAGGATTTTCATCATAAATTCTGTATGACCTTTTGCCATGATTCTTCTTAAGATTCTGCTGCACAGAAATATATATGGTCTTGTGTAAACAGGCCCTGTAGAGGAGTTTGAGCGACAGGAGCAGAGAGAATAAAGCAGTCACTACTAACAGTGAATTGAGTTCAAGTACACTAAGAATGCACAACTTTTTCAAAGCCTTCGACTGCACTTGGATTTGAAGTGGCACACTAGGGCTGCACTCTAAAATATAAGGCAAGACTAAATTTTATTTAATCTGCATATAACTTAAATATAGCTAACATTACTCTTTAATATACTATTTAGTGTGGTTTTTTTTAGTCGCATTAAAAAGTACAATTTGACAGTAACTCAAGAGAACTCCAACAGCTGAAAATACTTTTAGAGACTACTTGCAGCTCAGGGCACTCCTTTTGTACACTTCTGATCTATTCCACACATGAAGGATATTCACACATGAAGCAAAATCAACCCAGGACTGAATAGCACTTGCCCAATATATCCCTTCAGTCTGATGAATTCTTTAAGTACCATTTTCAAGCTAGCTGTGGACTCATCTAATATTCATGCCATCCAGGCCACAATGGATTAGTTATCAGAATTTCATGGGATGTGGTTTTGAAATCGTCAAGAATGTCCCGAGCATTCCTAGCATCTAGGAAGGAAGTTAACTAACCAAAAAATGAGATAACCTGGCAGGATTTGTTGTTGAAAATTTCTGGTAATTGCCACATGGTTTTCAAGGTATTTACAGGTTGATCACTTTAGGATGTGCTCAAGAAACTTCCAAGATATTGACATAACTAGTTATTAATTTTCCTAACCTTCCTTTTTCCTTTGTTTGAAGGTAAAGAGAACATTTATCCTTCTTCACTCACCTAACATTTCATCTGTGAGGGCTTAGCCACGAACTGGTTGTTTTCAGGCCAAAAATGCCAGTTATATTATAACATATAATAACCATACGGCTTTTAAGGCCCTCAAATACCACATCTAGAACCCGTTAAGTTGTGGAAAGATAAAACAATGAATTTAAAATATCAAAGGTATAAAAGTCATTTAAACAGTCTCACTAACAGTATAGAAGCATTGCAGAACTGCTTTGTATGGTTTCACACTTACCTGCAATAAAGATTTTTAGCTGGGCAAGCCAAGCTAAGACAAGAAGCCACGCTACGTTGTGTAGTACCTCTCAGTTGTTTAACATTCCAGGAAAATAGGAGGTGTGATTTTTTTTTAACATATTAGCCTTTGCTTCAAGCCGTGATTTACCAGCCTCCTGGGGAAAAAAAACAGTTGTGTTGGCAGAAACAAGATTTTAATTATCCATTACACAAAAAATAACTGTTTGGGAAAAAATGTTTTTATAAGGCAACATTTAACACAGTTAAGAGTCATTATCAAGAACATCTACGATAATAAACCAGTAGACCCTAGCAACTTACATATTGGAGCAGTATGTACGCTGTAATGTTTGAAAAACAAACAACTCTCCCTTGACTGTGCTCTGTACCCACACTGGAACGGAAAGATCATAGTTCCTTTATCCCCCATTTGCCTCCACAGTATAGCTCTAAAACTAGATTTTTTAAAACTGTAAAATCAGATTCAGATTCAGAGCTGAAAGCCAGACTCTAGCTCAACTTCTCTTTTATCATATGATGCAACAGAGAAAACTTCAGGGAAAGAAAATGTTTATTTTTTATCTCCCTTTCCTTCTGCACAATCCTCCAAATCATATGTCTGGAGCATGTGTGAGTTAACACCCTGATCATTCAAAACCTTGAATGATCAAAACCTTGATTCTTTACTTCTTTCCCCACTACCAGAAAACAAAGTCTCATGTGAGTTGAGCTGGGCTTCAGGTGAATTACATGGACAGTTCATGTGGTTTTCTTGGCAACAGTACAGAAAGGGTTTGGCCATTGCGTTCTTCAGGATACCTTTTTTAAACTTATAAAGCTAGTTTATAGCCCTGGGATTTCCCACCCAGGTACTAATGAAGTACTGTACACTACAGAAAAGGCTGCCTTGATAGAAAGGGCTGCCATTTCCTTTGACCCCTCCACCACATCAGCAGTTTTAAAATCTGTATGCTACCAAATGTGCAACTGTCCTCTGAAAATACCAGAACTTTTTATTAGCAGCAATGAGGGTACACATCACTCCATAAAGTCCTACTATATTCCCCTTGAGCTTAGCTGCAAACTTCCCAATAGTTGGAGAGGTGTCTGGAGCTGGGCTGGGCTGGGTTGGGCTGGGGGAGCGTTTTCCTAGCCATAATATGTTGCTGTGATTATTCCTAGTCTATATTTCAGGTTGATTTTCAGACTGATATTCAGGAAATAGGGGGGGCTGGAAATTTGGATTTTCAGACTTGCAAAATTGATTTCAGCCCTCCTAGGTAAACCAGGCAGGAAACACGACTAGATGAGGTAATTCTACTTTATTGTAAGGCTACATTAACAGAACCTTGCAAGTCTGAGAGTACAAATCTTCCGAACTCCCTATTTCCCGCCTGAACAGAGTAGCTAGGGCGGGTCCTTCCTAAACTGGTCCTTAGGTCCTTCCTAAATTCCATACTGGCTGGGGAATTCTGGGAGCTGAATTCCGCACATCATAAAGTTGAAAAAATACTGTCTTAGAACCTCCTTCCCCAACCCCGGAGGAAACAGCGGGGGGCGGACAGCTTTTCTAACCGTAGCAGATACACAGATATATAGTAGGTCAGCGCACCCATCTCCCTTTGGCGACTTCGGGAAAGAGTATCGGGACTTTTGCGATGAGTGCCTGCCCTTGGAATCTGGAATCTCGCAAAAGTGGAGCCCAAAAGCCTGCTTTCTTACCTCTCTCCCACCTCCCAGCACTTTGCCCGGAGCACAAACGCGCCCCGCGACTGCGACGCGCTGGCGCCAGTTCGTTCCAGCCTTCCGAGGTTCGGCGGGAAGGCGCTGCAGTGCCCGGCTGTTGGGTGGAAAAGGCGGAGTGGCATAAGGTGACCTAGAAGGTTCCCTTTTTATATATTCAGCGGACGGCGGAAGCCACGTTAGGGAGAAACAAAACCGAAAACCTTAGACCTCAACTTAACACCTGACAACTTGACCTGTCAGAACCAGGCCGAGCTGCTCGGAATGCCACCCCCTGAAAGACATCCTGTCTGTATGGCAGAACCAGGATGAGAGACCCTGTTGGAAGAAAACTGAATGAGGTGAGGTTGAGAGAAAGAGGCAGGGCTTAAAAAATAAAGTGGTCTGTCGCCCACTGCTTTGTTTGGAAGCATGAGTGTCCCCTGTCCCCACAAAAGAGAAAGATAAGCGGAGGGGACAGGCAGCATCCAAGGAAGGTGGAGAGGCTGATAGGAAGTGCTTTCACTTATTCTTTTTTCTTCTGATAAAGGGGGGGGGGGGTTGTAATCGTCTACCCCCGTGTTTCCCAATCTCAGAGCCTTTAAGATGTGTGGACTTCAACTCCCAGAATTCCCAAGCCAGCATGGTTGGCTGGGGAATTCTGGGAGCTGGAGTCCACACACTTAAGGGCTCTGACATTGGAAAACACTGCTGTAGCCCCACCATGTTACCCATTCTGTGAAAGTGCCCATAACATGCCCAGCATTTCCAAAGTGTCTGCTTGGCAGCCCCAAAAGAAACTTCTCTACTGTGGGATATTCTCCATCAAACCTAGGAAAGTTCTGAACTTTCAAATAAGCCAAATGATTCAGCTTCCTCTCAAGTTCATGGCATCTTGGTCCCCAAATATCTGAACTTCTCATTTTAAAATTATAAAGAAAAAGATATATATTAAATTATTAGACTAAGAAGAGTATAAAAGGGGAATTCATGCTAAAACCATTTTGGCTAACCAGAATGAACAGCTGAGTCCATATGGTTCAGATAAGTGAGCCCTGCAAATAATCCACCAGAAAACATAACTTCAGAATATTGAATGTCTAGAGCACCCATAGCAAACTGAATTCAAATTCTATGCTCTTCAGTTTTCTTGTATTGCTAAAATAATTTCAAAATCATTAGCCTATAATATTCTGGATCATCAGGTAATCTGAACTGTAGCACATCCTGAGCAATGAAGCAGCAGTATGTTTTGTGCTAATGAATGCCAGTGAAGTTTAATTTTTCCTGTCCTATCATTTGCTTTATTTCATACTATTTCTTGATAGCCACTGCTGAATTCTCACATAGCCCATTTCTGTTCACCATCTTCATAACCAACATTTCTTTCGCTGAACTTCCTGAGACATTTCCTTTTTTACCTTCATATACAAATTAATGAAAATGATTACATACACAAAAGCAACATTTTCTTATCGCTAAATATATTTAAATAAATTTTCAGCTCTGTCATATGACAGCTCTTGATATTTTTAAGCAGTGAATAAAAAATAATCCTTAATTGTACTCTCACTGGCTGTTTTTTTCAGATTGTATAATTTACCTTATGTGGTTAGGTTGGTTCTAATTTTTAAATGGACAAGCATCCAAATTAAAAAGTATACATTTACTTAAGGAAACATTTTTAAAAGGCAACTTAAAATTACCATATACTATTAAGTTGTCATGAGAATTGGGTTTTACAGAGTGGAAAGAAATGGAGAGCTGCAGTAACTATATAATTTTACAGGAAGTTTAGAGATACATATATTTCATAATTGTTTTCAAATACTTTTCCATTTAAATACCCAGGCTTAGAACAGCTCACTGCTGTCAAGCCTTGAGGGAAAGGGAAAATCTAACAAAGTTTTTATTTTTTATTTTTATTTATTTTTGGTGCCTTCGAGTCAGATTTTGACTCCTGGTGACTGCTTGGACTAATCCCTGCAGTCCGAGGTAATTTCTTGGCAAGATTTTGGAAGTGGTTTGCCCTTGACTCCAAACTGGTTCTCTTCCTTCAAGTTTATCATAGCGAAATCATGATAACCCAGGCATCCCCCCTAGTCACATACCATCTTCATCTCCTCTTCAGCCGTGACTGAAATAGCCATAAATTATTATTACTGTTTTCTCTTCAGATGGTATAAATCTTTCATATCACTAAATGTGCTGGTACAAAAATAGCATTTCACCCCTTAAACTGAAACTATCCCACCACATTTCAAGGTGTATAAAATCTGTATTACTTTGGGCTGATGATTATGTCTCAGTAAGTGTGGTATGATGTCTCATCCCCAGCCATAACTGAGGCAGCTTAAATTCATCTTTTACTATTTCAGCTATGAAGTACCATCTTTTCCTTTTCTCCCAATGCAAATCTTGCCATAATAATTATCTAGAACACTTCACTGATAATGTTGGTAACTATATGATCAGGTGTGTGTTCTGGTCTAGCACCTATTAGTCACTTTAGGTTGCTGCAGTCACACTATGTCCCCCATTGCCATTTTGACTTGGGCTGCAGGAGAGACTGGACAGTGGGCTTCTATGGAAGCATCTGCCCACATAATGATTGTCTGACACTGTGTGTGTCTTTTTTCTCCCTCTTTTTCTCCCTGGTGGCCTAGCATTCCTACAGGTATGTTAATACTTCTCTGAAGGAGAGAAGAGATAGACTTCATGCTGAAGTTACATGGAGTTTTTAAGAATTTGTGCAGAGACGTCATTTTTCTGCATGATTTCTTAAAGCCACCCTGTCTGATATTTCATGTTTCATTTGCTGTAGATTCTGGGAAATGCTTACTAATTCTCTGATCATGCAGATCAGCCCAGTGGTATTTTCTTATCTGTGAGTAAAGAATTGGCTCCTCTCTACCCACCTCAGATTCTCAGTATCTTTCACCTGTTTTCAGGATAATTTAAAACATATGTTTAGTACTGTTCCAGACTAGCATTATTTCAGAAGTGCTATATTTGTATTCAAAGCAAAAGATTTCCACAAAACCAGAGCAAGTTTTGACAGATTGCTAAACTTGCCCAAACTCATCTCCCCAGCTGTAACCCACATGAAGAAACAGAGTGATGGATGTTTTCCTGCTGGGTGTTGGTCACTGGTGGGAGAGGAAACTAATCTACAATCACTTTCCTGAACTTGTCTCATATTGATTCTATAAGGACAACAACATTCAATGACCTCATTATTGAGATAGATTAAAGCTTGGTTTTTGGGGCAGTTCATTTTATTTTGGCCTACTTTTCTGCCAACCAAAGGAATGGAGAAACTCACATTAACATGTCTGAAAGGAAGAACCCTTAATCGTCCATTGTTTTGGAGGGGAATTTAGTTTAATAATAGTTGGTATAATCAGATGTATGTTTGGTGACCATTGGGAGGCAGTGGTTCCCCACTCCCCTCTGATTACTTGTCAGCCTCCATCTCAGCCATTTCTCTCCTAATCTTTGCTCTCCCAAAATCTTTTTTAAATGCATGCAAAGATGTGTGGAACCAGAGGAGGGAGGAAAAAGGATTCCATAATCAGGGGCTCAGGTGCTAAAATGTATGCAAATGGATGAAGCAAAAGGGGAATGGAAATAAGTCCCTGTCTTATTACTTGTGCTGTATAAACAGGATCATGCCAAGATAGGATCTGGACTGATAGTGTGAAACATAACTACAGTGCCTTAAATATCAATACCAAACTGGGCTCTGACCCTATATAATGGTATGTGGGAATTTACAGTAAAGTAGAATTAGTTCATCTGGCCATGTTTCCTGTCTGGTCTACCTTGCAAGGCTGATACCCTAATAGGGAGCCCTGTGATAGAAAGAAAAATATGGAAAATCTGGGAGGTTCAGAGCAATGTGTACTGCAAAGTTTTGGACCAAGATGGTGATTGTGGGGAGGGCGAAGGAAGACTTACCCAGAAACTGTTACAGTAGTCCAGGTGATAGATACCAGGGCCTGAACTAACAAATACATGGTGTCACTGGACAGGAATCATCAAATTCAGCAGATGTTCAATAAGACAAGATGGTATGGTCTCAAAGATACCACTATAAATGGCTGAAGGAAAAGCAGGTTCCTGGCTCGAGCCAGCTCACAGTCCAGAATGAGAAGGGCAAGAAAGCTGAAGGATAGAAGAGGTGATTCAGTTGAAATATCAGGATTTCAGTCTTATTCATGATCAGTTTTAACCAATGTGTAGCCATCCATTATAAGATGTTTAAAAGGCATCTCAATAGAGATGTTGATATAGCCTCATTTATTTCACCCAGGTATCATTAGCATAGATATACTATGCAACCAAAGAGAAGGATATATAAGAAAAAAAGGAATAGGACCAAGAAGAAAACCTTGAGAAATACCCATTGAAAAAGAGAATACTAACAGCAAAATATATATGACTGAAGCTAAGATAAAGGATTGCTGCTGGTGCCCATGGACTATAGCCTTGTTTGTGCTATCTGGTGGTCAAGAGTATTCAATGCTTCAGGCAGATCTCACAGCCCTAACACCTAGGAAATGTGTTGGCACTTGGCCATCAATACCCAAGAGAATGCCATATTGGTTGAATTACCTGCTTGGCATCCTGACTGGAATGTGTCAGCAAAATGGTCATTGGTTAAATTAATAGTCAATTGTGAGAGGGCAACTCTCTCAAGGATTTTAGACAGAAAGAGAAAGAAAGAAAATTGCAGGGCAGCCCTGCTATGCTGCCTTATTGTGGCAAGTGGTGTTCCTGCAAGGAATGAGGGAGGAACACTGGGAGTGTATGCCAAGAGTATATAATCTCAGCAGTCACCCAAATCATGAAAGTCATCCCAGCTGCTTAGCTTAAACAAGCAGGCACCTATTCTGGGCAGCAGTGATGTAGGAAGATGCTGGGGGTAGAAGATCACTTTAATCACAATGGCAAAGACATCATTTCATATTGCATGGATAAAGGCAAATCACTCCAGTATTTTACCAAGAAAATCACGTGGATAGACAATATAAAGTGATTGCTGTTACAATGCTGGATGATGGGTCCCTCGGGTCA